GGTAGGTGATAGTAGGGCCAATCCCAGTAGTGGGTAGAAACGACAGGGAGAACAAAGGTTCCTCACGTCCTTCATCAAGACCCTTCCCTCCCTAATAAGGCCTAGACCCAAGTTCTGTAAAAGGCTCGCTCACATCAATTTCCCCTAGCGATAGGAACACCAAAAGCACTTACAATTTGTGGATGGGTTAGTTTGTAGATTGCTTCACGACTGCTTTTCAGTGGCATTTTCAAAAATTTTGCGAATGTTTTTGATGACGCGGAGACTTTCTCGCCGGAGCTCTTCTTAGATTTCGACTTTTTACTGGAATTGTCCATCGTTCAATTTCGTGTGGGTGAATTCGCCGCTGCCCTACTCATGCCCACCTTTCGGTATTGTCCTTGCAGTTATTCGAATCCATTTCGAAGCCAACTACGCCGCTGAAAAAGAAGCATAAACACTGTAAATTAACCTGGGGATATTAAAAGTTGTTCGAAGACATGAGTTACGATGGCTGGAGGCGGTGCGGATCGTTCGATTACGTCACCTAATACGAACGCTGTCCAACCGTCGTGATCACTGCCTTCAGAACCAATTACCTTACAGCAGATCAGCCTCTTTGCGGTGCCTTACTATGTCAAATGACGTTACTTGCTCAGAAGTGATCCCTCAGTTTTACATATCTGACTGATATCCTCTAGGTTTCCGTTATGCACGTATCACTCAACCGTAACCCTCAGGCCCCGTTCATACTTTGAGAATCGGCTTATATGCGATGATGCGACCAAGCGATTCTATCAAATGAAGTGAGTGCATATCGATTGGCTCGACTCCGCCTTAAAGCGTCACATGCGAGATAGCGTCTGGATTTCAGCGATCGCGCGAGGCGAAGATGCGATGGGGCGACCAGCGTGGAAGGATTTGATACGTGCCGACAGATAAGATTCAAGTCTATGGATGAATCATTGATTCCTGACGCGTCGCGGCGCGTGCGTCTCTTTGCGAACGTGCTACCAATCGCTTCTTCGCATAATAGCCGATTCTCAAAGTATGAACGGGGCCTAACATCCATCGCCCAAACGTAATAACTTATCAGTATTGTCCTTCTCCAATCCCAAAAGTCCAAGTTATTCCGAACTTCATTTCGAAGCCAACTATCCCCCCAAACACCCCACAACACACACCCTTCACAAGAACACGAAGAACTAAACCTCCGCTGAAAAAGAAGCATAAACACTGTAAATTAACCTGGGATATTAAAAGTTGTTCGAAGACATGAGTTACGATGGCTGGAGGCGGTGCGGTTCGTTCGATTACGTCACCTAATACGAACGCTGTCCAACCGTCGTGATCACTGCCTCCAGAACCAATTACCTTACAGCAGATCAGCCTCTTTGCGGTGCCTTACTATGTCAAATGACGTTACTTGCTCAGAAGTGATCCCTTCAATTTTTATATATCTGACTGATATCCTCTAGGTTTCCGTTTATGCACGTATCACTCAAACCGTAAGGCTCCGTTCATACTTTGAGAATTGGCTATTATGCGAAGATGCGATGATGCGACCAAGCATTCTATCAAATGTAGTGAGTGCATATCGATTGGCTCGACTCCACCTCAAAGCGTCACATGCGAGATAGCCGTCCGGATTTCAGCGATCGCGCGAGGCGAAGATGCGATGGCGTGGAAGGATCTGATACGTGCCAACAAATAAAATTCAAGTCTATGGATGAATCATTGATTGATTCCTGACGCGTCGCGGCGCGTGCGTCTCTTTGCGAACGTGCTACCAATCGCTTCTTCGCATAATAGCCGATTCCCAAAGTATGAACGGGGCCTAACCCTCACTTTTCTCCGTGTGTATTTCATTGACACATGTTCAGAATGGGATGCAGACGATAAAGCCTAAAGAAAATCAAGCGCCTATCACATGATACGGATTGTGATAGCAATCCTTCTATTTTATAAAGCGCTAACTTTGTGTGTCGGTTTGTATGTCTGTATGTGTGTGTATGTATGTATGTATGTGTGTCCGTCCGCAAAATGAAGTGAGTGAGAAGGAAGCTAACAAATCGGGTAGCTTACAGGATTTGAGATATCAATGTTTTGTAGCAGGATAGTTGTGATAACACTCTTAGGGCTATATAAACACCTGCTTAGCACACTTCCGTTCATTCCACATGGTGCTGCAGTGGCAGCTGGAGGGAGGGATGAGGAAGGGAAGCGAAAAATCTACCGTCATATCATGATTGTGTCCCTTCTACTGTATGAAACACCATTGTGTTGCATACGCGTCACTTCCAGGAGGTGTTGGTGTCACAGGAGGAAAGGGACCATAGCGGAGGATAGAAAGCTTGCGCAGGAAAGGAAGGTCCCGGCGGTTGACGGGGGACTAATCTGGTATATTTAAAACTTGTAGATCAATCACCTTTTCATTTAAATCGCGAACCTTGATCGGAGCAGGAGAGACTCCAAGGTGCATGAACGATTTTCAGAGCCGATTACACGCAAAGCGAAAGCTGGATTTTGCTTTTCGGCAAAGATGCCTACGTCGGATCATGAAAGTAAGCTACACGGACCACGTCACTAATGAGGAAGTTTTACGCCTGGCTGTGGCTAGAATTGTCCCCTCCACCTGGTCGTGTCACAGCGCGTGGAGACGAACGTTTGAGAATGATCAAGATCATGAATATCTCTAGGAGTGAAGAAGAAATACCTGTCATGGGTGCCTGATAAGAAGCTCGTCACTCGGCCAGAAGGCACAAACGCAGACGGGCCAGTGGCCAGAGTCGAAGCGCGTAATGTAGCGATTCAGCGTCAAGAGAAAGAGAATGCGCTAGTGCCCCACATCGCACAATAGCGCTGGGACCAAGGGTCAACCCTACGTTGTTACTAGTAACACGGGGGGTCGTACTTGGTTGAGTTTGTAGGAGGGGGGGGGTCGTACCCGTTTCAGTCGCTTGAAATCACATGTGAGTTTGAGGTGAAACTGAAGTTTTTATGGGTAGTGGGAATATAGGTAAATATAGGGAAAAGCCGGTAAAAGTAGGAGTAAAATCCCTCACCTCCCGCTCGACGGCATTTTTGGAGGAAAAAGTGGGCGGAGTTTGGTGGGTTGAGTGCCAGAATTAAATATTAGTGTCGCGTAAAAGTATCGCGTATTGAGCACAATCTTTGAAACACCACAACTTCCTTAAACACATCCTTCTTCGGGTTGAATAAGATATTATCTCACCACCAGTTTAGCTCCGCCCGCTACCGCGCGCATTGATAGAACTGACAATCGATGAAGCTTTAGGTTTCACCGCTAAATTATAGCTGCTTCGTTAAATGTATTACTGTCCGTTGCATAGGCTGCCCATCTTGGCTGTATCTCACTGTTTGATAAGCGCAGTGAAGTGCACAGCTAAAGTGATGATGTAAACAACCACTATGCGTCGAGTATCGAGGTAATTTAGCGGTCGAATATCTCAAAACGGAATGCCTAGTATTCATTATCATATTTATTCGAGCATCCCATTCATCCTCAAGAACTCTAGAAGGTGTAGCGGTCGAAAGGTGCTTGAGTTTACAATTACAACGCTGATGAAATGATATTGAAATGAAAGGCATTATCTACAATCTGCTCTCTATTCTCTATTTCAAGTGCTCTCTACGTTCGTACGCATGTCGTTATATCAGTCGTCATCAGTCGTTATCACTTGGTGACCCCCACCAAATATGTTTGCGTCCCACCCCTATATCATGTCCCAAAATCAGCTCCTGACGACTGCTGCGAAGCGCACATGAATTTCGTGAAATTTGTATTTCAGCGCCTCGTATCTACTCTTATCAGTCGTTATCACTTTGTGACCCCCACCAAATATGTTCCCGTCCCACCCCCTATATCATGCCCCAAAATCAGCTCCTGACGACTGCTGCGAAGCGCACTATGAATTTCGCGACACTTGCGTTCTAGCGCCTTTTATCAGCCCTTATCAGTTGTTATCACTTTCTGTACCCCACCAAATATGTTCCCGTCCCACCCCCTATATCATATCTTGAAACCAAACTCCTGACGACCACTGGTGCCCGAGCTATGAATTTCGCGACACTTGCGTTCTAGCGCCTTTTATCAGCCCTTATCAGTTGTGATCACTTTCTTTACCCCACCAAATATGTTCCCGTCCCACCCCTATATCATATCTTGAAACCAACTCCTGACGACCACTGGTGCCCGAGCTATGAATTTCCGGTCAGACAGACAAACACATACACACACACAGACACACACGCACAACCGCTTAGCCGATTATATATAGTAGGATATATTGTTGTCAATCATATCCATGCTAATATCTACCCTTCCGGTAGAAGTCCAAATTACAGCAAGTCTAAAGATGTAGGAAGGCGGTTTCGACATGCCCCAATTCTAAACGCGATTCCTCCTCCGAGAATTGAGTTCAAAAGCGGGGAATTGGTGTTTTGTTAGAGATATACCTGGGCTATATCAAGGATGGCAGATGAGGTTTCAAACCATTTCTGAATGGATTTTACAGAGCGTACTTCTCCGGTGGGCAGTCTAGCAGCTACCGTTTGAGTGAAGGATCGAACCTCATTTTTTCCTTGAAGCAGACCAATCCCCCCGTAGTTCCTAGTGTTCTATGTTCTATTATTTACGAAAATTGTCCAGCGTTGTCGAATGACTCGATTCTCGGATCTTGCATTGTGCTAGGCCATCAGAAATTGAGTGAAGTCGTTGCTGGAGGCGGTCCATGTTTGGCAACATTCAAAGGCAGCTTAATTTCGTCCACTTATTTAGCAACCCTTCCACTGTTTGCGTGCAGAAGCGTAGTCTTACCCTACGCTATCACCCATCTTGGAAACAGTTCCTTACTGTTGCAAGGAAGAGTCTGAGCACACACCTCCACGCGCGTCTCAACGATTCAAGGTGCCGGCAGGAATCAATTCGATGAATAAGTTGACGACATTTTTCCTCCTTCCTCACAGCGTGCACCCAGCCGAGTTCGGTGCCACTAGAGGCCCAATATCCCCTGCCACACCTGTGGTTGGGTATTCGATAAAGCTCCCTTCATTCCTTTTGTACGATCCCGTTTCATCAAGGTCATTGCTTTTGCTACGCGTGCCAGTTTCGAGCTTTGTTTCTCCAGGCTCAAACCTGAAGAGCCAATCTCGCGTTATGCGTTCCCTAGATACATTCCTTCTCAAAGCAGTTACCATATTTCGGACTGGCCCTGCCGTGTCTGTTCAGAGTTTGAAGACAAGAACTGCCAACAGTCGGAAATCACGATTTTGCGTAACTCAAAAGGAGGGCAAAACGACAGAAGCTTCCTAGAATAAGTCCAAACCTCATGTGTGGACATATCTCTCTCTCACCTTGGGCGAGGGCGGTCGTAAAACTTTTCAAAAAGTAACAACGAT